AATCGCTGATGCACTCCAGGGATTTCGAGGGATTGGAAAAATCTCAAATCAAAGGGTTTAAGAGCGCACCGTCCGGTTCAATTCAAGAAAGTGGACGCTGATTAAGAACTAGGCCGTTTTAATAAACCGAGGCCATAGAACAAGTGTCTTGGGCCTTTAACGGAATCACGTTATTGGGTCAATCAAATTTTGGCCCACTAGACAAAGGGAAAGTACTGGTATTTGGGTGTTGGGCTGCCCATTAGTTTTTTCAATTCCAACCCAAAATTAAGGAAGGGAAGTTTACACAAATACACCCCCAAAAATAGACTAAATACAAAATAATGCGACATGTTGGGATAAAATTTCATGTGTACAGTATCATGAACAAGCGATAAAGTAACGAATCAAGTATTGTGTGACAAGAATTTAGAATCCAATCAAAATTCGAATTAAGCCCAACTCTACATTGATTGTTTCGTGAGAGTTATATTAATCCCTTGTTTAATGGTCATTATTTTGAAAATAATAATAATATAATGTTTTGAATAGTGATTTTTGGAGAATGTGTGATTAAAAACGTAGGAAAAATTTTGAATTTATGTGAAAAATATTTTATTGTATGAATGTGTAGTTGAAAAATGAATAAAAAAAAAATTAAAGAGTTTTGTTTTATAAGGGAAACAAACAAGGGCCAAGACTTCATGATTGTGCAACTACAACAACAGTTGAGAACCAACTTACAACGTAGATTCAATTGGAGACCTCAATAATGTAATTTTCTATACCAACATTTTCACTAAAAAAAAAAAAAATATGTGTTTTGCAATATTGATTTTTTGGAGTAGGAAAAATTTAAGATTTACGTGTACCTATATTTTATTGATAGAATATGGTTAAAAATAAATTTGAGGGTAAAAAATTATTTTGAATAATGGGGCTCTGACATGTCACACGAGCCACATATTGACTTCTATTTCCTACCATAATTTGACCTTTGCAAATTGAGCCCTGCTTTCTGTCTCGACTTGGCGCCCCCTCCACATGGCATCCCTGTCCCTGTCCCTGTCCCCGTCCCCGTCCCCAAGCCGGGACAGGGGCTTTATTCCTTGCAAATTTACCTATCTAATAGACCACAAAAGAAGATAGAAGGAAGGACCCACGTGGAAAAGATCTCTCAATTATCATTCCTCGCCCACAAAGCCCTAAAATCACGGTGAAAGTTAATTATTGCTTATCTTTGATCCAACCACCCCATATTATTACCAACCTAAAAAGAGGAGAAAAGACATACAATCGCATCCCAATTATGCCATCAACAAGGGGATCTTTTCACTCTGAACAAGTAATTTGACTTTACACTTGGTTTCTATTCCATACTAAAAAATGACATATAGAATGGTGTTAGATAGTTATAAATTCACATTTTAAATTTGTTACATTTATCTTAATAAAATTGATACATCTATCATAACTAATATATTCTCAACTAAACAACCTTACAAAATGAATTTTCTGCTAGATGCCGCTTGCAGGTCATTCTATTAAAATTATCTTAAGTAAGAATGACAACGAGATGTCCTCCCACGCCATATTGGGGATTTCTCGAAGGTAGAGTGAGAATTATTTTATTCCCCGATTTTTCGCGCATGTTCACTTATCCATACAACATTTTTTACCGAGTTAAGTACGCTGCAAATTTTAAAGAGAACAAAAGAAACAATAATAATCTTGGCGGTATCAAAATAAAGACCATATTCTTGCTCCCACCTTGATTTCCCATTAGGAGGATGTATTTTGTTTCACTCCCATTTGATATGGATTAAACTCTGAATTTTAATCTAAATCAAAGTTAACAGTTAATTTCAACAACATATTTTATGAATTTCGCAACTTTTTAAATATGTATGTGATCAATTTTTATCAAAATTTACTGAAAATTTAATTTTAATCCTCCCACCAAACCGGTCATTCATTAACTGACTTATAAGTAGTTAGTATTTGAGAGGTTTTAATATTACTCAGTAAAATATTGCGTTAATGGGTAATTTACCGTGTGTCAAGCCGAAATAGCGCAATCCTTGTCAACCCAAAAAGTGTTTTCATCATATATACAAAGTGTTTTAAGATTGGTTACATGCTACCAACTCCTTGGACAGCAAAAATATGGCTAAATTTCACACCAATTTTCTCTTCTTCTGGTTGAATTTTCTCTTATTTTTCTCTCTTTCTGTATGCTCGAGATATGAACAGGAAGAGCTGCAATGGCTGGATGATAAAGATGATGAAATTAACATGGTTCAGAACAGGCATTCATCTCTCAGAAGTTGTGATTTTGGCACTGGAAAATGGGTTTATGATCAATCTTACCCACTTTATGATGCTACTTGCCCATATCTTAGTACTGCTGTCACCTGTCGAAAAAACGGACGCCCAGATTCCGATTACGAGAAATGGAAATGGAAGCCCCATGGTTGTGAAATTCCAAGGTATTTTTTGGAGTGATTTTACACATATTAAGTGCATATTTTGTCCATACTTTTATGAGTGATTTTCTACGAATCCAGTGAATGCTTCGTGGGTACTTTATTCAGTAAATTTACACACATATTCAATGTTTAAGGTAAAGACAAACGAATTACGAATGAACATTGATTGAGTTAAGCCTGTGGACTTTAAATCGAAGTCTACGTTACGAAACATGTCATATTTTTTTGGATACTTTTGTAAAGTGGTATACTGCTAAGAACAAAAGACAAGATTTTTAACTTTTTTCTTTAATCATGTCCGGCACTGTTCAATCTAGCACATCAAACATCTTTTTGAAAGAAGGTTTATATTATTATTGATGAGCATAGAATGTTGCTTATTGACAATGTGAAGATGAAAATTTGGATGAAATGAATTGAATAATGCAGGTTTGATGCTCTGGATTTTCTTGGAAGGATGAGAAGGAAAAGAATAATGCTTGTAGGTGATTCCATAGTGAGGAATCAATGGGAGTCTCTTGTATGCTTAGTTCAGTCAGTTATTCCAACAGCTCGTAAGACAGTTACTTATAATGGTCCTACCATGGCCTTCCAGGCATTGGTGAGCCGATATTTTTTCACGACTTCTTCAGAGAATATGAAATACCTGTTAAGTAACTTGAGAACTTATTAGCTTCAAAAAATTTTGGTGATATGATCACAGGATTATGAGACATCAATTGAGTTTTTTTGGGCTCCTTTCCTAGTTGAATTGAAGCAAGGCCCTGGAAGTAAGAGAATATTGCATCTTGATTTGATAGAGGAGAATGCAAGATATTGGAAAGAAGTTGATGTTCTTGTGTTTGATTCAGCTCATTGGTGGACTCATTCGGAAAAATGGAGCTCGTAAGATAAATTTTACCTTAAATTCTCTAGATCCTTCCTGTGTTTAATCTGCTTGGTACCTTAAATTACATTTTTTCACGTGTGAAATATAAGAGTTGACATGATCTAAGCAGAACAAGTTTGCAATAAGCGTGAGTCAAAACTGGCATCGTTTATCATAACTGCTAAGGTTCAAGTTGGAGCTAACTCCAAATTTATTCAGAAAAGAAGCTTTTTGCTGTTGTCATTGAGTCTCATTAATTCTGCATTGTAGTGTGGTTCTAATAACCATAACCATAATCTTGAATATTTGTATTAAACTGCAGGTGGGACTTTCTTATGGAAGGGAACAATGCTTATAAGGATATGAATCCCATGGTTGCTTATGAAAAAGGACTGTTGACATGGGCTAATTGGATAGATTTAAATCTTGATCCTAGGAAAACCAGAGTCTTTTTCCGAAGCATGTCTCCTAGGCATAACAGGTAATATTATTGCATCTTTTACTCAAAATTTAATTAAAAGAATGAAAATTATCAATGTTTTTGTTTTCAAGCATTGACACCTTCATCTGCCTTTTGTAGAGAAAATGGCTGGAAATGCTACAATCAGAGAGAGCCAATAGGCTATTTCAGCCACCCCCATGTCCCTGAACAACTACTGGTTTTGCGAGAAGTGCTGAAAAGAATGAGATTTCCGGTATATTTGCAGGACATTACAACGATGTCAGCTTTTAGACGAGATGGGCATCCTTCTATCTATGCTAGGGCTCTAGGAGAAAAGGCTAAGCGAGAAATGGGAGGTTATAGTTCTGATTGTAGCCATTGGTGTCTTCCTGGTGTGCCTGATACCTGGAATGAGATATTAAATGCTATGCTTTGAGAATGAAAAACCGATGGCATGTTTGTTATGCAAGACTACACGGTACTCGATACGATTAAGGTCGTTACTAGAGTAACCCTATATGTGTTTTGAGATTGTTGCTTGTTAGAATGGCATGTTTATTCACTTGACCTCTGTGGTACAAATTGTTGTCTTGTGTGTTGTAATCAAAAATATATTTATGATGTTGCATCACTATATTGTGATGTGAAAATGCCTTGTAAAAATGGATCTTTTTGAGGAGTTCCACCATATGTCCAAATGTTGCTGTAACTTCTTATTCCAGCTTCATTTTTTCTTAATCATATAATTTTCTTTAGGGTGAAGATTAAGGGTAAACTAAAGTCGGAAAAACAACAAATCTCTCTTTTTTGTACTACATTTTTCAAACGAACAATGGCCAATAGGAATTGATGTTTTAAAAGATTCCCTAGTATACAAAATTGTTAAAATAATCCTGACGTGTAATTTATTTTGTCTAAAATTTTCGCCAAGGATAGTGACATTAAAATTCGGGTTATTCTGCTTGGGTCCTTGGTGTACATAATTTTCTATACATCAATGTGTCCTCCACTCACATGGGGTGAGATCCACCATAATAAAAATATTCGGGTGGACGTCACCTCATGTGAGTGGAGGACACATTTACGTACAAAAAATTATGTGTATATATATTTATCCATTCTGTTTAATGCTGTACAATCTTATAGCCCTTCACATGAGATCTTGGGACCCCTCATGTAAGGGGACTATCAATCTTCGTATACACTCAACCCTTTAAAATTCGTGGAATCTACAACAATCCCATCAAGAGCAATGATTATTCCTTGGGCTTTACAGCACAACCTTCTACAAAATCGTGGTGTCTTCATAATAGCTACAAGCTTTATTTTTTGCATTGCACTCTTGTATGATGGTGATACCATATTTTTGACCTTCTAAAGCTGTACTTATGTAACACAAATGATTATGTCTCGGATTCATGAAATTGAAAAGGGAAGGAAAACCAAAAAACTTAGGGTGTTTTTAGACTTCGCATACCATATGTTTAAAATTTACGATTTACGGACTATCCATTTTAAAGCTGTGATTGAGCCCTATTTTTCAAAATTCATTTTTTTTTTCAATTCTCCTAATAAAATAATGTTGGACATGAATCCAAAAAAATTTCATACTTTTTAATTTACACGATCTCCAAAAAATAAAAAAATAAAAATCACTTTTACAATATCTATTCTGAAAAAAGGGGTTTAAGCAAGGGCGTCTACGTGTTGTATCAATTTATAAACAACATACTTTAGTCATTTTGTAATATCTGTTCTTATTTTCTATCCTCTTAGTTATAATATTTAAGCAGTGTTCATTCCTCTTGCTCTTCCTTCGATAATTTGGTATGTTAGTTGAAAAGTGAAATGTTTATATAAACCAGATCTATACTGGTAGCCTTTTCTGCAAACCATTACTTTAAAGGAGAGGGGGAAAAGAAAGAAGGGCTTTAGCAACTACTCCTTACAAGGTTGCCTTTTTAACATAGAATCCAAAAACCTCAATCGAGCTGTTGAACCTCAGAATTATTGTCAATTGAGAAACCATCTGGTAGGGCCCTACCACATTACGTTAATATGAAGTAATAATCAATGCATAAGTGTTTGAGTTTGGACAGCTTATAAGCGATACTT